CACAAATAACAGACGTGATATAAACTATGGAGAAATAATATGTATAAATAACATTGATAATATTTAGATGTAGAAACATTATAGATAACGAATTTACAAAATTAGTAAGTAATTTTAATATCTCTTGTTTGTTGAATTATTGTTTTCATGTATTGTGTATGTCTGTAGAATATTGTATGTAATAACTTTTTTATTATTTCGTATTGTAAATAATTTCCGTACTACGAAGGCACATTGGCCATAGAATATTTTTATCCTATCTGAGCACGTCAAATTTTCTTCACTACAATTTAGTCAACATTTTAGTCACTTTCAAACTATCTGTGTGGCGTGCGTTATGAAATACTTAGCTAATTGCATTTATTTCGTATTCGTATGTTTTACGAAAAGGAATGTAATATTTGATACCTTTTCTATGCACTTGGCGTAAAGTTTTCCTTCTTTTAAGAAATTTTTCGCATGTACTGTAAAAAAAGATAGTAAGTGTCAGATTTAAATGTTAAAGAATAAAAATGATAGATATACAAAATTAAATTAAATTTATTATATTACGATGTTAATAAATGTAAGAACCTTAACGATGGTTTCTTCTCCAAACAAAGTAGCAAGACCGTCGTGTAACCAGAATTGAGTCCACCAATTATAACTGAATACGTTACTAAACCATTGATATGCTATTTTGGATGCTATTAAACGTGCGACTTCTATTTGGTGCATAATTGAATCTGATTGTTCATCACATATAAGATTGGCTTCTCTAAAAATTATTCCAGTTGTTTTAACGTGTAAAAATTGTTGCTTATTTTTTGGTTGATGAAACATTAATTTCTTTACAGATTTAAATTTAATTTGTTTATACTGATGCATATAAAACGTTTAATGTTTTTTTTAATTTTATATAATTTTATGTAATGGTAAATTAGGACATTAAAAAATGATTATGCATGTAATTTTATTTTTTAAATTTATCTTAATTTGATACATGTAATATTTTTTAAAATATTATCTTTCTAATTAATTTATACATATATATAGAATATTGGATTATGATTTTGGTGACTCCTAATAAAGCACAACAGATCACATTTGATATACAAGGTGATTCGCATAAAGTGGCAGGCATAATTGTCAATAAAATTTATAAAGACAAATGAAAAAATATTATATAAGTAGATTTTTAGTACGGAGAAACAGATCATATAGATAAAACCATTAATTTGTGCAAGTTTGAAATCGTTTCATGATTACCTCTACTTTTCCAATAAAAATATGTTTTTCTAATTATTTGATTTTTTAAAATTATTTTAGATATAAAGCTATTATGAGGAATTATTAAAATGTCAATAACACATAAAATATTTTACACTTCAGTCTAACGTATTTTGTTATGGAATAATGTAAAAAATACCTCTATGTTATTAATTTTTTCTGATACTTATGTTTCAATATTTTTATGCATTGCTGATAAAAAAAATTGAATTGTTTTTAAAAATGAATGCAATTGCAAATTCCATATCTACTTTTAAAGTACAGATTGTATAAAATTAATAATATCTAGTGTAATAATAGTTATTAACCCTCCCCGAACCAGGTGGAAAGTCAACATCGTTCATATAAGGGTATATATTTAAATATATATGCTACTTTTCATCATAAATATGCTATAATTTAGTATAATTGGCAACAACGCATTCTCCATCTGCACGAAACCGGCAACAGGCGCGCGGTACTTTTCACGAAGTTATAGAAATTCATCTTGCTGGGGTATGTCACACCCCCACCTGATTCACGGATTAATAATTGTTTCAATAATTGATTTTTTTATAATTAACAGAAGATTTCTCTTATAAAAATACATATACATAAAAATTCAAAATTTTTAATATTAAATTGATATAAATAATTTTCTCAATTAACAAATTGTTATATATTTAGAAGTATGTATTACGTATGAAAGATGAGCCCCCATTTCGATGTGCCATCTTGTGGAAAATTTGGAATTGCAACATGATCCATTTTTGGAATATTTATCCCACCGAATTCAGATTTTAAATGCGACGTAATACCGTTTATGATTCTTCGTGCAAACTCAAATTTCGGAGATTTCTCTTCTGAATAACAATCGCACCACAAAGTAATGTTATCGTTAACTTTAAGGTTATAATAGTCAGTCACAACTATCGCAACTTGCAAAGTAGACATTGGAGGAGTAGTATAGAAATGTGTCAACACTTCAGCTTCCAAAGTCATTGAACGATTAATAGAATGGTATTTTATCGGCATATTAGATAATGCTGTAAGATTACGATGATGCTTTATAGAAATTGCAAATGTGGCCTTTAAGTGTGGTATGTCCCAACAAGGAAATAACTGTCTCATTCCAGTCGCTTGGATGTGTGGAGCGAGCAATAATCTACAACAATTTAATAATAGTTAATAATATTTACTTTAAATAACATTAAATAATAATATACTTTTTACCATTTGATTTAATTTATATAACAACATCAAAAATTGCTATAAGAGAATGAATTTTAAGAAAATATGAGAAATAATTATATTATAGTGCATATAATGCATATATATATATAATTTCAACTATTTAATATTTACTCACGCTATGCGATTTCCCGTGTAAACATTTTTGTAGATACTTTTATGGTTTTTTATAAGTTGACCGAAGAATTCTATTTTGAATGTGTAGAGCCCGGGAAATAATATATATGATAAAACAATTTCTAAAATATTCGTGTCATAGTAATAACTGTATTTATTCGATATATATATTATACCACTATCTGTAGTTAAAGTTATATTTAGACGACTTATTGTCAGATGTAATTGATGCAATCTGATATATTGAGTCGATTCAAGGACATTGATGGTTATACTGGTTTTTCCATGAAAAACAAATGATTCATTACGATGACCTAAATTGAATATCTTGTCCCAAAATAAATCCTTGTTACCAATATAATGATGAGTTAAGATTGTGTAGTCAAGTATCTCTATATGATAGTGCACGGGTGTCACGTAATAAGGTGAACGGGCTTTACGGGCTTTACCATTGAGAATAATCATTGCTATGATAAATATTACGGTGCTACTTATATGTGCTACGTTCATGTTGCTCCGGTTGCCGTTCTAAATATATACCAGGAAGTTTTTAATAAATTATAGGATACTCTTCTAATGATGATCAATAAAAAAGCAATGCACATAGCTGTCTGTGATTATAGAGAAAGAGAGGGAGGGAGGGAGGGGGAGAGAGAGAGAGAGAGAGAGAGAGAGAGAGAGAGAGAGAGAGAGTGAGAGTGAGAGGTTGAGAGGGAGGGCGGGAGGTTATCGAAATCGTTATATTATTGTAATTATAATTATATTAATGCAACATTAAACATTCTTAATTTTAGTAATATTTCCAGCACTGTTGTGTTTATGTTAAAGATATTGTTACACCAACGATAAATTCTAAAACGTTTTTATTTCTTATTTTAACAAACATTTTTTATTGAATATGTACATTGCTTTTTTATTGATATTTTAAAGACATATGAATATCTTACAAATAACTACAAAAAATTTTCCTTTGTACTATAACATTTTTTTAAGGCAAGTTAATTTTAAGTCATAAAACATATACGAATATTTTACAAATAGCAAAAGTTATAGCATATTATATTCATACAGTACCTAACAAAACAACATTAAAGTGATCATATTTTACTGCTTTAAAGAAATAAAACTTTTATTGAATACATTTGAAGAACATAATTTGAAGCTATTATTTAATTCAGTTTTTACGTACATATTCTTAAACACGTAACGTTTAGTCAAAAGTCAAATAATGTTTTCACAACTGTATTACTTCAAAAATAATCTATTGTGCACACTACAAATAAAATATTATCCTTTTAGGAACTTACCCTGTGTAATAAAATTGTACTATAAAGATATAATTTTCACTGCTAATTGCTATGTGTATAACAATTATAACGAAACGAAATATACATAGATTGTAGTAAAATGTTTCCGATGGCTGCTATCTTTCTCTTTCGAGAAGGCACAACAGACTAATACCATCGACGACGACATACATAATAAATACTTACATGATAAATACAAAATGTCATTTAAACCGTTTCTTTTAATGTACACATTTTATATTAGTTGACGTAATGTTAATCGGTTTTCTTTTCAGTGGAATACAAATTTAATGTGGATGAATATGTACGACTCATTTATTCGAATATGTTTGATATTATATATTCTACCATCAAACTGTTAATAACATATTATATTTTTAATGCATATAGTGACACTCTAGAAAAGTTTTATACATTTATTGAGACATTTTTAGTAAATTTAAGTAAATTTATATTATGTTGAATATTAATAAAATTTAATATAATTTCTTATACTCTCAATCTTGAAGGTCACTATATTCTATGCTGTACAGTCAATGCGTGCGCTAAATCGAACCCTTCATTTTCTAATCTCTGTCATATCTATATGTACTTCGACTAAATTATATTTACCCGTTTTCTTACATTTATTCGTTTTTTATTACATTTACCAGATATCTACTCCAAGCTTTTCAAGCTTGTTGTTGGGCTGCGAGACGAAGGGGATCTTGGATCTTTCTGTCCTACAGCCAATTAACACGCTTGAAAATTTCATCATACGGCAAAATTTTTCAAGCGTACATTTGTGGCGCGTATATTTTTTCTTTTTTTATAAAGGTTTTTTAAAGTTTTTTATCTCACATTTAAAAAAATATGACAAGGCGAATAACATTTGTAATACAACCTGCCCAATTATGAGATAGATTGTCACAAGTGTCACCTACTAATATTTTTATTAATGTCAGATAAATAAATTAAAACTTTGTATTTAAAACTATGTGTAATATATTATATTGTAATGTAATATAGAGTATAGTTTTTGACATATCTCGTTGCAGTTATTCGGAAATATGTAACAACTTGCTTCCTTTATATAAACTTACGTAGTATATATTATGTATATTTAAATAATAATAAATATTCTTTTTACAAAATTTTTTAAAATTTATGAAACTGAATTGTTAGAAAATATATTTCAATAGAATATGACAAATTAATTTAAATAAATATAAACAGGAAGAATGAAATAATAACACATATTGTATTTGCACATTGATTATTTTTATATTACGCAGTTAACTAATATAAAGTTTTGAAATTATTGTATTGTATATGATAAATTTTGAAATATAATTGAAAAGATAAATTCAATAATTGAGTTTTCTCACGTCTTATATTAATTAGGCTTATTCAACATGTTTTTGAATAAAATACTCGAACTTTTTTTGGAAGTCATGTATATCTTAAGCCAGCAGCACACGATGCTTGTTTT